TTCTGAATTTGTGGATTAAACTTGCTCAAGAATATTTTTTAAAATCTTTCTTAAAAAAGAATGAAGTTAGTAAAAATTAAAAGCAAATATGTTCAGTACTTTGATTTTTACTTACTGCTTTTCAAGTTTCCTAAGTCATCAAGTGTTTAATTTTGTTTTTAACTAAATGCACTATGTATAAAATCCTGAATAAAAATTCTTCTAGACATTTGGACAAGTTACGCCTGTCCAAATTCTGTCTGCCTAATCCTGCCTTTTGGAAGAAAGTCTCAAAATTTCCAACTACATTACAATAGGCTGATGTCCTGAGGGTATCTCTATTGTTCAATGTAAATCAATTCACTCGAAGAAGATGAGAATACATCTTTAATTTCATAATCAATAAAGAAATTGTTAACACCCTGAATGTCATAGTTTATATTAAATTTCGCAAAGGCACCAAGAACCAATGTTCAATATTAGCTGGCTCAGGCTGGTTAATAGTAAATAGTTAAGGAGTACATATTATGCACCAGGGACCATGCTTATTCACCTGCTATACAGACAGTGGCAGTCTAGAACTACAATCTGAACTTGCATCTTCTGAAAGTTCAAGTATACAAACCAGAAGCTTAAGCTCCAATACGTAACTTTCCCTTTATAGTATATCCAAAAAAGCTATTACCAGAGCTTCTGCAATCTACAACTAACCAAATACGTTAACACGAAGAGACTAACAGGGGCACTTAGAATGTCCTGGGGTACAAAATAAGTCTTGGGTTACAGTGGCACATTCTGTTCTCTGGAGCTTTATACCACAAAAATTTTGTACTTCCCCTAAAGTGACTCCTTGTCCTTAAAAATCAGTTGTTTTAAAAAGTAAAGTTGTATTGCTTACAGAAACCACTACTCCTACTTATTCTTCTCTAACAGAAATACTACCCTAGAAAATACTAACAGTGAAGAAACGTGGCTAGATTTATTAGTAAGGTAATGCCAAAATTCTTTGTATGATTTACTGAACCTCTCAAAAATTTTAAAACTCATGCTAAGTAAAATACATCCGACTGTACAAAAAAAACCACTTAAAACGACGTGAGGTTAACATAAACAGTAATTCCTTAAGCTATTGGTTTTGCTTTGAAGAGGCCAAAAAGGATAACACAGCCACCAGAAGTCTACTCTTTACAGTAAATATGTCCAAGATAACTATTCCAACTGCACATCATCTATAGCAACTGTTCAGCACCCTCCAACGTGTAATCCCCTGTCCACTAGATCTTCTGCTACAAACCTCAAATAAATCATTCTTTAAATTTCTTCAGCTCACACCATTTCCCATCCTTTTATGAAAACACAGAAAGGAATTATACAACCTTTAAAATAAAAATGACAGAAACGGTGGAAAAGTAGAGATGGCCTCTGCACCCAAGCTCTTTTCCTTTATATCTGATAACTTGCTATTTAACTCACCTACCTACCTTCATGTTCCTGGATAATACAGAGTTCCTCTAACAGTTCAAGAGACTCTCTAACAAATGTCAACGTCCTTATGTGGCCATTCTGTTCCAGCCTCTATACCATCCATTCAAGCTTCCTAGCTTTATTCTGCCAAAGAACAACGACGCTCCAAACAAACCATTACACAAGCCCAAAATATACTCTATCCCGTCCTCGTTACCAAGACGCTGCAACCCAATGTAAAACCTTCCCTAATATCAACTCTTCCTTTATGAACTTTTCCCATATTCCTACTGCCTCAATATCCTACCGCCCCATACTCCCCAGCTCTCTCAGCTAAACGCAATTCCAGCCCGGAGTCACACCCTCCACAGCCGAATTCCTGCAACCCCAAAACCCCACCTCCCTCATCACACCCTCTGGGGCCTCAGCTATGAAGCCCAACACCCCGCCCCACACCCGCCACGCCCTCCAGATCCCTTTAAGGTCCTTTCCATCGGCCCGACTAGACCCCGTTGAGGCCTTCCAAACGCCTGGGCTCTCCCGACTACCACTCCGTCCCCGCCTCCAGCCCCTCACCGAGTAGCAGCAGCTTCACTTCTTTGGCCGCTTTTTCCCCGTCCTCCCTTAAGTTGCGGTCGATCATCTTGCTTCGCTCCACTGCCGCCTTGTCTTCGGCGCTCAACGTGCAGCCCATGGCGGCGGCAGGAGAGGGGACACGGGCCCGGGCTCACTCACACACCGCGGGAACTGCCACTCGGCAGGCTGAGGCAGCGTCTACTGCTGGGCGGCGCCCCTCTCCTTCAGCTCCCTTAGCGCCCAGAAGAACCGGATATCCGGCGTTTACGACACTTCCGGTGACGCCCCGCAGCCTTTACCGTTTAAGCCCCTCTCCTCTGGGAGAGAAATTGAGACCGAAAGCGGAAGTCACGGGGACCGGGCGACTGGGCTGGGCGACGGATCAGCCGAGCTTCGAGATTCTGTTAAGTTCGCTGCCCGCCGCCCAATTTGAAGCCCCGTTTACCTTTCAGCTACCTGATTTGGTAAAATGGAGAAAAACCGGGGCCTCCCAACTCATAATGCCAGTTTTGAGGCGGAGATTTCTGAATTAAAGCCTACATCCCGCGTGGGAATTTCTGCTGGGAATTTCTCGCCTGCCAGAAAACCCCTTTGATCTCTGGCTGTGGAGACCCGGGACCCCTACCCAAATGTGGGACACTGCCTCCGTTGGGGTTATCTCAGATCAGTGGAATGGGAACAAATTGCCCGGCCTGGGCCACGTTCTCATCTCACATCTGAGATTGTAACATCGACTGTGCCTAGGACCTTTTTGCCCTCTCTGGCCCACTAACTCTTCTCAAAATGTCCCCTGGTCCTTATGCTATTATGGACGTATTTCTGTGGTCTTGAGATTTGCTTAACTCCTATGCTGGCAAAAGGCCGCTTGAAATCGCTAGCAGATACTCGATAACTTAAAAGGGTTAAGCCTGTAGTTCCTCCATAAAATTTCCCGGCTGCCCTCCTCTTCAGTATAAGCCAGATCTTCCTACCTTAGAGTCTTAGAACTAAAACCAAGATATGTCAACTTCAATTACACACCCCAAAACAAACCAGTGCATCCCTGTGAATCTTCTACTAAAATTTCCAGTTGCAGTAACATACAAAAGGAGAAGTTCTAGTAAAATTTACCTCTCAGCCCTAGTATCACCTGACACTTAAGTCCACTGTGAAAGCCAGACTGTTAGCTTCTTTCACGAATAACCCTGGATACTGCATGAAGGTAGTCCTAAATTAACTTCTCAGCCAAATAAGTCCACATTTACCATACATTCTACCGAAGGGAACTTAGTCTCTAAAACCTTTCCCTGTGATTGTAAATTACTTTCTTTCTCTAATAGAATCTGAACTTTAGAATGTAAGGTTCCAACAGAGAGTTCTATATATAGTGATGATCCATTAATTAGGAGGATTTGAGCCATCTTAAACAGCCTCATCCACCATAACTCTTACCAATGCCAATTCTTCAAGGTTTGAAAAGTCCCCCAGTCATTCCCAAATGACTGTTAGAATGAAAGGGACTGCTTTTTCCTTATCAATACTTTTGGGGAAAAAGGGCAAGAGGAAAGGGAAGTAAAACCAGTATTTATTGAGTACCTATTTGCCGGGTATGGCTAAGGTGCTTCCACAGCCCATCTCTTAATCCTCACAACAACCCTGTGAGGTAGGTAATAATGATCCCCATTTTTACAGGTGAGGAAGTAGGCTCAGAGAAATTAAGCAGCTTTCCCAACTTCACACAGTAAGTAAGTAGATCTGTCTGACTCCAGAGTTGCCCTTTTCTATCATGCCCCTGTAGGATATTGCCTGGAGATACCTGATGAAAGCCTATGGTTTTCATCTAGGATTGGGAGTTACCACAACAGCAGCAGGATGCAGGAAAAAGTAACTGACCGGATGGTTGCCTCAATCTGTTGATTCTTCTGTGAGTTAGAGAGGTCAGATTTTGTCCAGGAACAGCTTTCAGAGCCAAAGATTACGTACTGAACTTTACCAAGGCATCCTGGTGACTAGAAAACTCCTGGAAGGTGAACACAGCAGAAATTGCTGGGAAAGTTCTCAGCATAATAAAAGAGAAATTTTTATTTCCTTCATGATCCACTCCTACAGGGAAAAATAAACGGCAAATGAACCCATGTATGTCAAACTCTGTAATAAACACCAGTGAGATCACAGTGTCAGGAAATTTCAGCCTGAATTAAAGATACCCTTGCTCTTAAAACTTTCTTCTTTGATGTATGTGAAGGAAGGGCTGGAGGGCAAAGTCAAAGGAAAAGGCAAAATAAATTAACAAAATGGCTGCCAGGCAATGTTTAATGACCTCCCCTTCCCCCTTCCTTTCACCACATACAATCGCCTTTCGTCCGTCCATTGGACTCACACTGCCACCTGCTGGCAATGCTTTGGATCTACTAGCTGATCAGTAGTGTTTGCAAGTTTTTTTTCCTGTCTAGGAGTGATTGATTCCTCAGCATGCATTTTTTTAGTAGAGAGGAGAGGTGAACATGTTTTTCAATCACAAAGGACGCTCCTCCCTCTATATACTATGTTTTTAGGGGACTTCCTCAATGTAATAGGCACTAGACTGGTATAATAGCCTAGTGATAGGAAGACAAACCTAGAAATCCTAGAAATTTTTCTAGAACACAAGGGGGAAAGCTGTTTGCCCAGTTTCATTTAACTTTTTTGCTTCCTTAGAGAGTTTCATTTATACTCCCCATGCTTTCTACAGTCTGCAGGAAGCTTGCAGGTATGCATCTTGCTGCCATGGACTGAACTCTCAGAAGTCGGAGCCATGAATATATTCTTCAATATATTTCTCAAGCACATTGTGTAGTGCTTTATCAGATCTAAGTGCTTTGTAGAAATACAAGGCATCTGATCAAATTAGACTATGAACTCCTTAAAAGCAGTGACCACACACTGTGTGGGTCCCAGGGACTAGTGGGTGTTCAACTATTATGCACTGAATTGAACTAAAGGAGTCAATGTTGATATCAGTATAACCTTTTATCATAAAAATTATTTATTAGCTGTTTAAAGGGGAGACTATCCCACTCCTACCAGCCCATTTCCCCATTTGATCCTCAGTGAGCCAGGAATTTGATCAAATACAGACCACACCACCCTCTGGCCCTGCCTTGACCCTTTAGTGTTACCTGATTCAATTGAGGGAAGTAGGATGGACAGGTGGTCCCAGATGGGTGTCCTGTCAGGTTTGCAATTATTCCCTCTTTGTTGAAAATACCACCACCAATACCAACCAACACAGTTCCTACAGTCTCAATCAGTGAACAGCCAAGACCAACTCCTGTGCCCTCTCTCCAACCCAGTGCTGCAGATAGGAGAGAGATTTAAGTCTTTGTCACTGAAGCTAATTTTGAGAGCGATGAATGGGAGTAGGGAGGCATTTAATGGATCATGGAAACCCCACCCTTCCCATGCCCAACCTTAGTCTCTTGTACCCGATTGTCCAGGGGGCTGGAGGTGGGTCACTGCCATGAGGAGAGAGATCAGGGAGGCCAGTCCTGGAAAGAAAAGATTCAAGGTATTATTGATCAGGCTGATTACCTGGCCTCTCTGTATCTAGCCACTTTACCAATTCAAATGCCAACCCCCACCCTCACCCATCTGACCCCCAGTCATTCTAGTTCTTCCTCCTAAAAGGGAGGAAAAGCCATCCTGCCTTATTCTTGTCTCTGCTGAGATCAGGCTCCACCCTTGATCTCCTGTGTGCAGAAAAGAGACAGAAAAATAGAACAGAAAGGCTTTTCTGAAGAGTGGGAGAGAGAGAGCTGCAGTCAGCTTTACTGTCTTCTACTCCATGTATCCTAATTGCTATTTTGTCTTGTTTCTGGCCAAACTCAGTAAAGGAATATACCCTACTGGTCCTCTCACTTTAAGGAAATCTCGGGTATAAAACCAGAAAAAAGATCTATTAACTCAAATGGAAACGCTTGGCTGTAATTTAGTTCTTTTTAAACCTAGCAAGGAAATGAGAAAACATGGGTCATTTTCTTACCTTGCTTGGGTGCAATTACTGCCCTGGACAATTACACTGAAAAATAAGGTATCCTAAATGGCCCCTAGAATAACTCCAAACCTGGCCTGCTGCCTTGTATCTTCCAACTCCTACCCTTAGAGAATTCCCTGCTTCTGGAGGCATGGAAAGTTCACTGGTTGAGAGGCTTTACCTCACCTTTGTGACCCTTTTCTCTCGTCACCGTCTCACCATACCCAGGTTCCCTCCCCCAGCAGTCCAAGATCACCACCAAGTCCAAGACTTTTGCACACGTTCATCCCGTTGGCTCTGTTTCTGACCCAGGAAACACTAAGCAAACACCATGTGCAGAGACCCCAGCCTCAGCCCTAGCCAGCTGGGAAAAGGTGATCCCACAAGGTGGTCCTTGCGATCATAACTGGTCCCAGCCCCATATCCCTCCGAGTGTCCAGCGGCCCATCATGACTCCAGCCGGGGTGAGGGGGCAGGACGGAGGTAGCTGTCTGACATGATGATGTCGCTGGTGAGTTGCTGCTCCAGGAACTCAGAGGTCTCCTCAGCTATCTGGCCTGGGATTCGAAAGTCAACAGCAGGTGGTTCCTGCTTGGGGCTGGGTAGGGGCCGGGAAACCCAGGACTCGGAGGGACAGCCAGTCCCCTGAAGGAACTGCAGGAAGTTCTCCTCAATGGAGCCCTCCCGGCTAGGCAGCCTCAGCTCCTCCTCTGGAGCTGGCTTGAAGAAGCAGACAAACTGCTTGCTGAGCTCCCCCCGGATCTGTCGATTGAGACATCCATAGAAGAAAGGGTTGGAAGTGAAGCAAAAGTAGCCGATCCAGGTCACCACACTCTCCACCTGCCCAGGTGAAATGGGCTGAGCACTCAGGGCAACATAGAGGTGGAAAGAAAAGTAGGGCAACCAACAGAGCAGGAACTGTCCCCCCACAGCCAGGAGAACCACTGCTGCTTTCCCTCCCCCAAACGTCCGGTGTGGGGTGGTCTGGGGGGCCCCCGAGCTGGTGACCATCGTGGAGCGGCTGCTGAGAGATTCGGAGCGTTGCCGGGGTGTCTCCATCCACGTGGGCAGTGGCCCGTGCTGCATGGCAGCCACGCGGGCCACTCGAAACATGCTGCAGTAGACCACAAGGATGAGGAGCAGGGGCAACAGGAAGTAAAGGACAGCAAAGACCACCACAAAAAGCTGGCAGTAGGCACTGTGGCTCCATTGGAGTGAACAGCCTGGGGGGACACTGGGAGTTCCTTCCTCCCAGGAGACCCTTCCCAACACTGGCACAGAAGCCATGGCCAAGGCCTTCACCCACACACCCACCAGCACAGAGGCCACCAGCCCCAGCGTCATGCGCACCTCGTAGCGCATGGGGTGGACCACGTAATAGTAGCGCTCCACATTGATGGCCGACACCGAGAGGATGGCCAGGCTGACAAAGCACACGCTCAGGAACAAGTAGAGGCGGCAGGCCACCTCCCCAAAGAGGGCGTGGTCAAAGAGGGCAGAGCTGGAGAGCATGGCCAGGGGCATGAGGGTCAGGGCAGCCAGCAGGTCCACCAGGCAGAGGTGGAAGACGAAGACAAATTTTCGGAGGGCAGGCGTCTTGGCGATCACGGCCATCACAGCAGCATTGCCAGCCACAGCAGTCAAGTCCAGCAGGAGCATGAAGAAGAGGGCCACAGATTCCGAAGCTACGTCCCGCAGCCCCACCTCCGGGACCCCGCTGGCAGTAGAGGGACCTGGGGTCTGAGGGACCCTCCCGAAAGTGGAAGAGTTCCCTGATGACTGGGGAATGGATGAGGACTCCATGGGGCCGAAAGAGGACACCCAGGGTACCTCCTGTCACAGGCCCATCCCCCATCCTAGTTCAGCGATCCTGGGATGGCGAGCCCAGGCTCAGGATTCCCGATTTCGTAGGGGGCACCTCCTACTGAGCCTCTTGGGCAGGCTTGTCTGTGTACAGAGCACCAGGCCAGGCAGCTGAAATGTCAGAAGCTCATATCCCTTTCTGGCCGGAGGTAGCTCCAGGGTCTGGCTTGGTGACTGCTAAGAAGCAGGAGACGTGAGAGGTGCGGGAGCCTGACCCACTCAACACTCCGCCTTCAGAATGGCCTTCACCTCTTCCTTTTGCATCTCCTTTCTGCCGTTCTTGTTCTCCATACCCTTCTACCCTTTCCAGAACTGGTAGCCAGGGATTCTAAATCCTCTGTCTCTCTTTCCCAGGGTCCTGCTGATCTCTGGGATAGTGCCTCAGTTTTAGGGTTGCTTATGTAAATTTCCTGATTTCTTGTCTCCTCAGAATGGCAGGAGCTGCTGGGGAGTAGAAGGAGCACAAAGTTTAGTTTCTAGTCCCAGTTCTGGGCATTACTAACTCTGTGAATCTTCTGAACTTCAGCTGCCTCATAAAGCCATCTGTAAAATGAAAGGAAGAACACCTGCTTCACAACTGTGTTTCTGGATCCTGCGTGATCTGTTAATAATACTGACAAGCAGTAGTGTTGATACAGGGTTTTCCACGTGCCAGGCCCTGTTCTCCGCACCCTGCCTATATTAACTCATTTTACTCCTCACACCACCCTGTGAGGTAGACATGATTTTTATCTCCATTTTGCAAGGGATGAAACTGAGGCCTAGAGAGGTTAGGTAACTTACACAAGGTCACACAGCTAGTAAGCAGCAAGGGCTGGGCACCTACCCAGGCAGTCTGGCCCCACGGCCAGTACTCTTGCCCACTGTGCCATGCCATATGTGAAGGTGCCCTCTGTGCCAGCTGGACAGAGGCATCCAGTATAGTTGCTGAGTTTCAGCTGTCTCTAAAAATGTCTCTTGCTGCACTACTATCACCTGAAATGGGGAGCTGTGCTTTAGGCTCTTTTGACATCACTTCTCCCAGGACAAAGAGCTGCCACTTTGGGAATGTTGAGAAGGAGCAGTGAAAACAAGATGTCCCACCTGGAAGGAAATTGAGAAGCCAGCTCATCCAGCCTGCACTGTTCCCAAAACCAGAAGTCACTTGAAAGCTGCCCTCCTCCACCCACTCATGAACTCTTCAAGGCCACTGTGCCCCTCCCATGGGGAGGGAGCTGCTCCCAACCTCCCGCTCCCCAGATCCTCAAGCCTCTGGTCACTGGAGCTGACCCTCAGAGGATCCCGGACTCAAAGCCGTCTTGATTCTGGACTGTTACCACAGTCACAGAACAAAGAGCAGGGAGGAGGCACCTGGGTAGGAGGGTGGCTAGGAGTGAGGGTGGGTGGTGGGCTGTGATGGTGGAAGTGGGTGAGCATAGAGCAGAAAAGAAAACTGGAAGAGGCTGGAGAGGAGGAAGTCTGTGGTTTCAGTCCCTCATTTCTCCTGATCAAATGGCAGACCAAATCTATTTTCTGTGTCTCATTACCCATGTTGAGTTTGTGTATAATTGAAATAGGTTGCCCGATGTAATTAACCATTTTTTTTTTCATTTACATATACTATTCTTGCAGTCCAGATTCCCTCAGGATAGTGTGCTGAGTTCTGCAAATTAGAAGCAAAGTGCAGACATGCCAAGTCTGATGGCCTTTCTGTAGGCAAGTCACAAGTTACAAGGACACAGTTTTCTCATCTGTGAGATGGGAGAGTTGGACTGGACAACGTCTGAGGTTCCTATACAGGATAACATTTGATTACTCTGTGAGTTCCTGGGCTACGGAGGGCAGAGATTGGTTTCAAGCTGCCCTTGTCCACCCACTCATGCATTCCTCAAGGCCACTGTGCCCCTCCTGTGGGAAGGGAGCTGCTCCCAACCTCCTGCTCCCCAGATCCCCGAATCTCTGGTCCCTGGAGCTGACCCTTGGAGGATCCCTGACCCAGAACTCCCTTGGCTCTGTGCTGTTACTTCAGTGACAGAACAAGAAGTGGGGAGGGGGCGCTGAAGTTGCTCAGTTAGAAAACTCATCATTTCTATGGCTGCAATAAAGAGGACCACATGGCAAGATGGGCCCCACTCTCCTCCACATTAGAGCCTTACAGTCTCATTTGGTTTTCGGTGTTTCCATGAACTTTACACCAATCCTACTTCTAACATGCTATGCCTGCAATAAGTGCTTGATACAATTTTGTGAATTGAATCAAACTCGAATTGATAGTTGAATCCCTGCCCCCTAGGACAAACTCCAAGAATACTCAGTCAGCCAGCTGTGTGCCAGCCAAAAGACTCTTGTGGAAAGGGTAGCTGGGGCTCCCGGACTTGAGGACGCCCTAACTTTGGGCAACGGCCTAGAGACATGCCTCTCTCTAGGGATACAGAAGGCTCGTTTCACAGTTAGGTTGCCCACAGAGACTTAGGGTCTGCAGAGAAGATGAAGAGTGGGCACAAAAGTGAGATATCAGCTTCTCATAGTCTGCCAGGAAAAATGCCTGAAAGAAATGCTAGGAGAAGCATCCTTCCCCTTACTCTTCGTGCTGCAATTTACCTATCCCTTTTGCCAATGAGTGAGACCCAGATGATGTGGGTCAGAGTCCTTCCCTGATGGCTGAAGGAGGAGAGGCCCACCGTGTCTGGATGGACATCAAGAATCCCCGACTGGGGAAAACAGACATGGTTTCCACGTGGAGCTGGAGGGATGCCATGCAGCCATGATGGAGCCGTGAGCAAGAAGGCATTGGGCATTGCTCTTTTTCATAGCCCCCTCAAGCTTGCCAGTATCTCCACAATGACTCCTAGGTGTGAGGATTGCAATTTACCTCTTAACAGACAGATCAGTGTATCTGGCTAGTCGGCATTCCCTCACTGATGGACTGGGGTTATGGAGGGGAGGGCTGTGGTGTAACCGTTTCATAGGTGAAACCCAGGGAGCCTCACTCCTCTCCCAGGTCATATCGTTATGCCTACTCCCCCAATAGATGCTTTCCTTCCTCCACTACTTCCTTCCAACAACACCCCTCTTACCTCCAGGACCTTCAGTCCCTAGAAGGCTTTGACGCTAGGGCCTGAGGTCTGGGCCTCTAGCAGGGGCACAGTCAAGTTACAGTATGCAAGATGTACATAAGTGCCCAGCCCAAGGCCACAGAGATGTCGGGATTCACATGCCCCTGTTTCCCAGATACAGAGCTTCATCCCAAAGACCTGAGCCTGCCCTTCCTTCAGACAAGAACATGCCCCTCCTTAAGCTAGAGGAGATTTCCAGGGAGCCACAACACCTCTCCTCAGCAGAGTTGCCCACACCCAGGACACAGTTGCCCATCAGCCTGGATGCTGAAGGGCCCATTCCTAGAATGTGGGAGACCCATCTCTATGACATGGAGCATAACAGATGGAGAACACTGTTTGTCTGCAGGATATGGGTACTCCTGTCGGCAGGAGATGATCAACCCCCCAGCTCTGGGCTTCAGAGATGCCCACACCCCAATACTGCCTTTGGGATACCTAAGAGCACATCTCCTGATCAAACTGCTCACCAGAAGGTAGACAGGGCTGGTCCTTGGAAAGCCACCCTTCTGTGGGGATACCTCGGCACTCACCACCAGGCCCTGGGTCTGGCCCCCATTCCTGGCCTAGTCGGCAACTCCTACCTTTGCTGAGCAGCCCCGGCTCCCATGTGATAGCTCCTCTCAGCTGATGCTTCTCCAAGGCTGCTGAAGCCTGAAGCACTGCAGTGAGCGGTGAGAGGCAGCCGGCAAAGCAGAGTGCTCTGAGAGCCTCTGGGTCCTAATGGCCTCCTGCTTCCCACCCAGCCCCTTGGAGCCACTTCTGGAGCAAAAAGATGGGCACCAATGTCCCAGGCAAGGTGCCCAACAGTGAGCTCAACTCCTCTCACTTCTCTCAGGCTGCCGGACTGCATCGCCAAAGTTTCAGGGGGCCACGTAATGATAGGCAGGGAGACCCTCCTGATCAGCCTGATGAAGTGAAAAAAAAGTACATGGAGTCAGAAAATCCAGGTTTAAGGCCTGGCTATGGCACTTACTAGCTGTGTGACCTTGCGCAAGTTACATTTGGCCTTGGTTTCTTAGCGGTTCAAAGAGAAGAAGGGAGAGATGCATGTCTCTGTGTGACATCAGAACCAAGGTGCTGATGCAAGCAGGTTGCTGCAGACCCAGGGCCCCAAGGCTTAAGCCAGGGAGGGGCTGAGGCCCCAGGTGATGATCCAAGGTTTGGCTCCTTTAGAAGCTGCCTAATGTGTATGGGGGACAGGCTTAGGAGCAGCACTCAGGTTTGAAGGGCAGCTGAAGACCTTGTCTTAACACTGCCCTTGCCCCGAAAAAAGCACATTATTATTATTGTTTGCTTAGATTGTATGTTTATTGGAGTAGGGCTGTGAAGGCTGATGGAGATCAGCAGGGAGGGGGTGGGAGGATCTAACATCCCCCAAGCCACCACAGCACTGCTCCCTGAAGCGGGCAGAGTGGGAGCCAGGGACTCAGGAATGCTCACACTGGTCTGGATGTGTAGGACTTGAAAGCTGGGGAGCATCAGCCACTGGGCATTGCCCATCTGTGGCATGATAGGCCTTTGGAGACACAGTGAAGGGGCAAGGCCTCCTTTTAGCTATGAGAAAAATGATCATTTCCCTGGTACATGACTGATACCCAAGGATAGAATCCTAACATTGCAGAGCTGTAGGACATCCTACAGGCCAAGGTATCCATGCTTCCCAGACCCAGAGAGATAAAGAGATTGCTCAAAGCCACACAGCTCCACGTGGCAGAGCCATGAGCCTAAACAGGCAATTCAGGCATGATACCCTACTCCAGAGCCTTCTCCCTTGAGACTTGCCTATCCAGGAACTCCTTCTTCCTCTAAGAAGGAAAAAGGGAATTCTGGAATTATTTACCAGACCTACCCAGAGAGCCATAAGAACAATGAGTTACCAAGGCCCTCACTAGGACAGGTTGGCTGCCCGAGGCCCCAGGTCAACCACAAAGAGGCCACTGATCCACCAAGAGCCAATGCAGCAAGTGCTGCTGTCACCAGCCACCACTTTTTGAGCTCTTATGAGTGCCAGGCCCTTTACATGGTTTCTTCCATCCTCACACCAATCTTCAAGGCAGCTATGACTTGCCCTATTTTATAAGTGAGGAACCAGTGCCAGAGAGGAAAAGTGACTTTCCCCAGATCGAACAGCTAATAAGTATCAGAGCCAATATTTGGACTTAGATCTGTTTGAAGTCCAAGTATTTCCTCCTCCTTTTCCCTTGGTTCCGTGGCCTCTCCAGTGGCCTGACATAAGACTCTGGGCTACGGCCCTTATAGCTATCTTCACAAAAGTAGCCATTGCCTTCCAGAAAGTCCAAAACAGACACCAAAATGGGGCATACCTGAGTATAAGAAAATCAAATGGAAATACCAAAGTGAAAACTTGTAGGCAGCAAAGTGATTTTTACCAAGCCCTATGCAAGATTAATTTGGCATCAGGCAGAGTCTCTGGGATTAGGTAAAGCCTGTCCCTGCTCAGCACCCACATTCTTCCTGCAGGGCCCCAGCCCAGACTGGCATGGCCCCTCCCAAGGGATTCAGAAAAAAACCAGAGCAGACCTGGGCTCATTGGAACAGGATTGCAGAAAGACTCTTGGACTGGAGTCAGTAAACCCTGGTCCAGTTTGACGCCACTCTGTTGGCTGGTGGTAAGATCTTGACCTGTGAGTAGGCTCTGTGCTTTAGTTTTTCTGTCTATAAAATGGGCAAAATTCTTCACTTCCAAGCTTATCTAATAGGGATAGGGAGCCTGCATTACAGACACAGCCTGCCTCTCTGGCTTCAGGAAGCTAGTGCAGGTCATCACAGCTCGTGAGGTGGCCAGCAGACAAGGCCTCTGTGTCCTGAGGCCCCTCACAGAGATACTGGGAAAGGCAGTACCAAAGAGGCAGCATGTTCCAGCTGCTGGACCATCTTGGCACAGGCTGGCGGGGGTGGGAGATCTGCTTATCCTAGCCTGGGGGCAAATAAATCATCATCATCATATCATCATCATCATCATCATCATCATCATGATGCTGGCCGGCTGCGGTGCCTTATTCCTGTACTCCCAGCACTTTGGGAGGCCGAGGTAGGTGGATCACCTGAGGTCAGGAGTTTGAGACTAGCCTGGCCAACATGGCAAAACCCCGTCTCTACTAAAAATATAAAAATTAGCTGGGTGTGGTGGCGCATGCCTGTAATCCCAGCTACTTGGGAGGCCGAGGCAGGAGAATTGCTTGAACCCGGGAGGCAGAGGTTACAGTGAGCTGAGATCGCGTCATTGCACTCCAGCCTGGGCAACAGGAGCGAGATTCTGTCTCAAATAATAATAATAATAACAATAATAATAACAGTAATGCTACTGGTTTTTGAAAACCCACTCTGGGAGGCACTTCTTACGCTGTGTCTCATTAAATGATCTCAGTAAGGGTGTGGAGTAGCTACTGACAGGCCCCCCCCACCCCACCTACCAGATCCTCCTTTTAGTAAAGCTTAGTACAATGGAGGGGGCAAGAAGACCAAGATGGAGAAACTGGGTGTGATCTCCTAAACCACATCAGAGATCCACGGCCCACTATGCTGTGCACACACCGGGAAGGGAATCCTGCTGCAAGACAGGGACCAGGCCCTGCTCCCCACAGTGGCACCCCTTCCCTGCCTATCACCGCAGGGCCCTTGGTGCTGAGGACTGGTCTTTCCATCCCAGACTTGCTCCCTGGTACAGTCCTACCCAACCCTGGCCTACCAGCACCTCATGACAGAGTCGTGTCTGCCCATCCACCCTTTTCTGCCCCAGTATGAGACCTGGAAGCCGACCAAGTTCATCTTTCAATCATCCATCCATTTCTTCAATAAACCCTGAAGGCTTCTTATGTTGCCACAGCCCCCTCCCTAGAGCCCCTCGCCTGTTCAGTGGCACCCACTGCCCTCTTCTGCCTTCTCTGCCTTGACTCTGCTCTCAGGAAAGAGGTTGATAAATCCATTCGCACTGATAGCAGCTTAATGTGTCTTCTCTCCCAGGAATATTAACAATTTAACAGGGAACAAAGAGAAGAAGCAGAATGTTGGGATTCCAGCATCGACCAGGGATGTCCCTGAGATCCCACAACATAGACTGCCTGTCAGCCGCCTACTCTCTAGCCTGGCCTCCCCTGCCAAGCTGCTGGCATTGTGTCCTCTCGGCATCCACCTCCATCTGCATGGGCACCCAGCCCCCACCCCCACCCAGACAGCAGGCTCACAGCTGGGACCTACCCACCGCAGCTTAGCTCCTGCTGTCTGGAGCCCCCCTGTGCCAGCACCAGCCATGCCTGCTTCCCAGGCACCCCCCTCACCCTGCCCACCATCTGGGGATCAGGCCAAGGGGCCAAGGAGGGAGGCAGAGGAAAGCAGAGGTGAGAGCCTTTCCATTCTCTTTATTCCCCCACAGTCTGGCCCACACCCCCTGCCAGGAGCCGAGATCCAACGGTATATTCAGCCTGCAGCTGCCACTGGTCATGTGAGCCCATTGCTAGGTTACAGGGACCCAAAAATAAATCCTTCCCAACCAGATTAGAAACTGGGGGCCTCGGATGAACCAGGCTCAAAAGAGCGGCAGGAACACCCACAGTGCATGTTTAGGCCAGGCGTGCTATGGGCCAGGGGCCTTCCCATGCTGCCCACCTCCTGTCCCTCAGCAGGGGCTCAATGCTGGAACCCCACAGAAAAGGCCCAGAGAGCTCCTGGATCTCCTACTTATTAATAACACAATAAACAGGTCTACAGGCTGAGTGGCCCTTCCTTACGGGCAATCAGGGTAATACCCTCTGCACGTTCTTCCCATCATCAGCCTGTCCCTCCGCAGGCCCTGCCCCACACCCAGTGCATGGACAAAGCAGCATTAGTCTTTTGCCCTGTGGCCTGGGGGCGATCTGTCCTAACAGTCCTTTTCTAGACATGGGAAGGGAGCTCTGGCCATAGGCACAGTACGAGGCGTATTCGTGTGAGTAGTCTTACGCAGTCTTTTGTGTTCGTCTCAATAATTCCATTTACGGGTATGGAAACTGGGGCTTAGAGAGGTTAAGTGACTTTCTCAGAGCCATACAGTTGAACAACTGGGATTCAAACCCCAGGTCTATACTATGGGGATGAGACAAGGAAGAAGACAGGGAAGCACAGTTAAGGAAAGGAAAGGGGTGTCCCCAAAAACCCTTCCCTGGGGCCTGAAAACTTGGCATGTCAGTTGCTCTGAGTTAGAGGGGTGTTATCTCCCCCTGGAACTTCTTAAACTTCATCCAAGCCAGTACACAGCTTGCCCAGACCACGGGCCTCCTTCCATGGCTTTGGGCTCTGTCCCCTTCTCTGGGAAACACTGTCTAGGACCTGGGTGGGGTCATCCCCGGTGCTGAGGCCTGGGGAGGCAGACACAAATCCCCCCTGCTCAGCACAGACCTGCTTCAGAAGCTCGACATGGAGCCAGAGTCGCAAAGCTGAAAGGATCACAGGAGGTCAGGTGTCTAACTCCTGATTTACAGATGAACAGGTCCAGAGTGGAGCGGTAACTTGCCAGGGCGAGGCTACGCAGCTAGGAGGTGAAGGAGGTGCAACCAGAGCCCAAGCCTCCAGAGTCCTGCTCCTTTTTCAGCCTGTCATTAGCGGTGCACAGTTGGGTTCCTGGGGCCCTTCCTCAACCCACCATATCCCCAGAACCTCCCAGCTATCTGTTTTCTTCAGCTCCTCCTCCCCGA